TATGTGGCACAAATATTAACATAAAGCCAATTAATGCTTAGTGGATTAACATCTCTGGGGGGAAAAAAAGACGGGTAAATATCTATTGAGGAAAGAGATTAAAGAATGTCAAGCTATTAATGGACGGTCACATATTTCACAGGTGGATACCCAGTGCTGGTGGGACTGGCATATAGATGTAGTCAGGGTTGAAGATGGAGATTTGAGAATTGCTAGATAATCTAGAGCTTCCTTTTATTATTTTTTTGAGATTAGGGTGATAGGGTAGAATCTTATCAATATGAATGAATGGTAATAGTTGTGCCTGGACTCTGGTTGAAGTGAGCTTCATGAACTGAATAGGAGGGGGAATGTAAACTCAGTGCAATACTTTCAGATAAGCCAAGGAAAACAAGAGGACATGTGTTCAGGGGTGGGAAGGGCATTTTTGGGACAGGTACCAGGAAGTATTTCTTTACCCAAAGGAGAGGGTAGGGACAAGGTTTTGTTTAGGAAACAGCTTGATGCTGTAATGGGATGCTGTAGGGTTGGTATTCTGGAAGGTTATGATCAACTGGACTGAAGAAACCCCTCTTATGATTATCTGGTCGTCTTTTCTCATTCCAGACTTTCTTATTATTGTATCGTTAGGAAGCACTGGCTGCCAATTCCACAAAATAGGAACAGACACGACTTCCCTTCACTGGCTCTGAGACTTTTGTGAATCCATAATAATGATAGTCAGGGAGTGCACTGCAAACTATCCACTTTCCCCCTTCCCCACCCCAATATTAACCAGTCATCCTCCAAAATATACTTTTAAGTCTGCTTGAATTTAATATGACATAAAATCTTTGTATGAAAGCGGCATTATCGGAGTTACTTCTCCCCGTATCCTGGCCAACAATTCCCCAACAACAACAACAGCCGCAGATAAAATTGATCCACTTCATGGCTGTTTGGGGGACATTGCTGTAAGCAAATTGTCTGCCGCCATGGTCGCCTACAAAATACTCAGTCACTACACTTCACTGTGAATCAGAGACATCCTCCTGACATTAAAGGCATTATATTAAATGCAAGGATTATTCTTATTTTTTAAATTATTATTATAAAGCATTCTTTTCAGAAGCACAGAAACATTCCTTTACATGAGCGTCTTGCTTAAAAAACATGGCCGGTAAGGGGCGGAACTGACCCCAGACAAAAATATTTGGTCTCTTCCCATTTCAAGAGTAGCTTTGCTCTCACTCCTCTAGACACATTAAGCCATCACAAAGTGACAGACGGTATAAATTTCTGCAACCATAAAACATGGGATAGTGCATCCATCGATAATTCACCTCCAAAACTTAAGCAATTAAGGCAAGACATTGCAGATGGTTTATTTCAACTGCAGTATTACAACTACAATACCAACAGGGCCCCAACTAAAGCCTCTGATTTTCCTGTTGAGAATTGCTGGCAGTAGCAAAAGATATGATGGACAGCCCAAGGAGTGACAATCGTTTCAGAGGGAGGTGGACTCGGTCGATTTTCAAGTTTTTTTTAAAAAAAAGGGGAGTTATTTTGGTGGGAGGTTGTGAATGGGTTAAAAAAAACCCAACACGACCAGACCAAAAGGCTGTGATAAAGCAACAGAGGAGTTCCCAGTGTGTGGGAGTTCAACTATTAATCCACATTGGGGAAAAAAAGGGGGAATTATATCAAGTGGGAAAGAATGCAAAGAGAGTTGATTGAAATTGCAAGCAGTTGGAAGCCAAATAATAATTAGGAAAACGAGTAAAAAGATGCAAAGGAGAAGGGAAAAATGCAGATTTTTATTTTGGGGGGGCGGGAGGAAACGGAGAAAGAAAAGAAAGAGATTGCCCACGAAATGTTTTAATGAGTAAATGACAAATGAGAACGCCACGTCGCAGGAGGAGTGAAATGTGGAAGTGACTTTAACACAGGAAAATTGCCTTGGTTATCTGACCAGAGAGAGAAAGAGAGCGCGAATAAGAGAGGTAGAGAGAGAAAAAATAACTTAAGATTCAACTCCTGTTTGACCGTTTTCCGTTGGAAACGTGTGACTTTTATTTCTGTAACCTGCTCCTAGTTTGCTTTAGGAAAAGCGTGGCTTTTAAAGCCGGTGAAGTGGAAATTTACCCGCTCGGCTCAGTAATAATATTGCTTCCAGATTTTAAACAGCATGGGACCCACAATATATAGTATTATGGTTTAAGGACGTGTGCTTTCTCTCTCTCTCTCTCTCTCTCTGTGCTTGCGAGTCCTCGCTCCTTCTCCAGACATTTTTCATTTTATTTTAAGTGTGGTGGATTTATTTGAGCCTGCCACTAAAGGCAGGAAAGAGAAAAGAAATGAGAACAGCATTTGGTTTGGTGGGATGTGCAAGGAAGAGGGTGAAAAATGCAAGGACACAAG